GAGGAGGCTGCAATGCTTGGTAAGAAATGTATGCATTATCCTGCCCATGTAATTGTAACCCCTCTGTACAGTATGTTCACAAATAAAATTTAAAATAAAATAAATGAAAAAAGAAAAAATAAGAACTCATGGCTTCAGCTGAAGTTCTGCCAAATCAAGCTAGGAATGGGTGGAAGGGCTCGCCATCCCCCCACCTCTTGCCTGGTTGGAGGACATCAAAAGCCAGCTATATATTCATCTCCTCAGCGTCCATGGTTTGGGAAGAAAGTCTCAGGCATGGAAAGAAAGTCCCAGAGATAGCTGTCAATCAGAAGACACCCTTCTGATTCTTACTGATGTGTTGTGGATGGTGAGCTCACTTTGTCAGAGAGATTTCAGTCTCAGCTCCAGCTTTTTCAATATCTGCTTTGTTCTTGGGGTACAGCCATCTTTGTTGATAAATGTGTATAGTTATTGCAGCAAGGCAAACCAAGATAAATACCACGACTGCTGTCCCACCTGGTGAGAGGAAAGAACAGGAGATAATATCAAAGAACAACTAGGAACTTGGACCAAACCAGAGGGTCTACGTGCTATCAGAGAACATTATTTATTTCTAAATCTTGACAAACTGCAGCAGCTTTGTGATTTCTACATATATACAGTTAGACTGAATTGCATTTCAGCTAATGCCCTCACATTTAAATGCAAAAATATGACGTAAATTTTTAGTCATATTCCACTTCACATCAATAACCAGTAATTCCAATTAGAAGTATGTATTTCTGTCAGAGTAATTTAAGGTTGTTAGAATGGCTATAATCAAGAATTCTAATAACAACAGATGCTGGAGGGGATTTGGACAGAAGGGAACCTTACTGCATTGTTGGTGGTAGTGTAAACTTGTTCAACCACTTTGGAAAGTAGTATGGAGGTTCCTCAAAAGACTCCACATAGAGCTCCCCTATGACCCAGCAATCCCAGTCTTGGGCATTTACCCAAATGATCATAAATAAGACCATACTAAAGCTACCAGTACAACTATGTTTATTGCACCTTTATTGACCATAGCTAAGATATGGAACCACCCAGATGCCCCTCAGTAGATGAATGGATCAAGAAAATGTGGTATGTAGACACAATGGAATTCTATGCCTCCATCAAAAAGAATGGCATTGCGCCATGTGTTTGGAAATGGAAAGACTTGGAAAAAATTATATTAAGTGAAGTAAGCCAG